CACGTCAGGCCAGTGACATCGCAGCACCCAGCACATGGCTGTACGTATTTGGCCTATGAGCTGGAGAGCCTGCAGGTTTTCAGCTACTTTCTACATCCTTTGGTGTACAGGAGAAAAAGGAGTGAAGGTTGCTACATGCTAGTACGCGAGAGCTTCTGTTGATCTTTGAAAGACACATGACAGACTCGGAATCTAGTACAAAGCCGTAAGATCATCAGTTCAGGCCTTGTCGAGGGATAATTCTCACTCCCAGCATGAAGAAAGTCATCCGACACTTTCTGCTGCCCGCTGTTCAATGGGCGTTATCGGTAACCGCGCCAATGGATGAGTCTTTTGCTCCAGGAAAAGATTGGATAGCACTGGCACTAGCAGGCTTATGAAGCTGCGTAGAGAACTTCAATTATCTTCAAGCTCTACGTTCCCAAACGATTATGCTGTCAAGAGAGCTCTATTCTCTCTCACTGTCGAAGTCTCGCGAGAGGCGGTGAACAGAGACGACTTGGACTGTACCATTACGTCAAGAGTGTCGCGGTGCGATAGCAATGTGGGTACATGGTCTTGAGACAACCCCACTGGCTGTAGGCCTGAAGATACCGCACCATGCAGGTGAGGTAGCAAGAATGGGTCGGATGTGTACGTCACATGTTAAAGTACGATAAGAAGATTGGCATGCGACAGGGTGGCTCTCTAGGGTGTCTCGACACAGCTGCCTTCCTCTGATAGAATACCATGGATGTAGGCAAACGAGCGCAGAACTCGGTGAAGACGTCGTGCCTACTATTCCAAAGGGCATTGGCGGCTTGCTTGCCGAACTTGGCCCAGGTTTTGAGCCTCAACTTCCCGTTGGAACATCCCGATGCTTGGCCGCGAGAACGAGTCCGGCTCCTTCTCGTCTAGAGGGCGGATCTGCAATCATGTTGGATGTCTGAATGGTCGGTGTCCCTGGCGCAGTTCGTTGCAGGCGACGCGGCTTGGCAGGTCGCCGCTCTGAGAATCAGCAAGTGCGTCATCGTGCAGGGAAACCTCAAATCTCTGACCCGCCGCTCCACTTCAACCTCCGAGCACGACTATCAAGCGCGGCCGTCAACCACATGGCGTGCTAACACTATGTAGGCAATGGAAATGATGCGCTGAAGGCACTCTCGCAGCACCAAAAGAGCGGCAACAATTTCAGCAATGGGGGTTTGTGAAGCCGTCTAGGTAGCTTAGTTGTCACATTGCAGGAGTTGAGTATGCGCGATTCCAGAGGACTACCATTAGCTGTGAGCCCCGGGTTTGCCATTGCAGCATTGCCAAGAATACTCCCTGAGATTCTGCTTCCAGTCTAGTACCGCATGGCCGCAAGGAACGGGCTTGGTGCACGCGGCCATGTTGCCTTTAACGCAGAAAGGCTGGTTGCCGGATTGCAGACTACAGATGGAATCCCACTTTTACTGCAACGTTGCCGGATCCTATGATCGAATCAGCGTGAATATTGAATGCACCAGCTTAATGCACATGTTGAAACGTGCTCGTTCGCAATGTGCCGCTATCAAAACTCCAACGATATGACGCCATGGCTCCACAACAAGGGCCCTACAACCAATCCCACCGATAAGCTCTTGTGTCCCGGTCCAGCATATCGACGTCGATGGGCAGAAGATTCTTTTCTACCGTGCCAGGCCGAGGAGGTCATGAGTAATGTCAGTGTCATGGCATCCAACGCAACAAGCACGCCCTTTCACCGGCCGTATAAGTGCTCCACCTATCCCACTCAAAATTCAGCACGCACAACAACAACCTCCACAAGATCCACTCTTCTCTCCGCTGCCTGAGGGGTAAACTGGAGTATTACCCGGAATTTCGGCTCGACAGACAGTATAAAACCCACCGCTGCTCCACGTCCCCATTTCTATTTCCACCCCCATATCCGAGCGTTGCAGAGACCCCTCAAACTGCACTTGCCCGTATCCGCTTTCATCAAAATTTCACCGAAAATGTCTACACCTTCTCTGGCTATCCCACAATCGGGCAGCCGCTTCGTGCGGCGCTTGTCGTCCGTCGAAGCAACCAGTGAGAAGATCCAAATGGGCCCAACCGTTGTCGTGCCCCCGCAGCATCTCATGGCTCCATCAGCTGCCTCAGAAATAGCCAGCGAGTTTGAGATAGCGAGACACCGTCTCGACTCAGCCGGTACACCTGAATCTATTACCCCTATTGAGGCAGCTGTTACCGACAAGTTTGCCTTTGCGTTCGATATTGATGGCGTGCTCATTCGAGGCGGCCGGCCAATTCCCGAGGCCATCGAAGCCATGAGAATGCTGAATGGCCAGAATGAATACGGCATTGTCGTTCCGTACATCTTCGTAACAAACGGCGGCGGAAAGACGGAGGCAGAACGATGCCTTCAGTTAAGCCAACAGCTCGAGATGGAAGTCTCTCCAGGTCAGTTCATCTGTGGTCACACCCCCATGAGAGAGATGGCCGAGAAGTTTAAAACTGTTCTCGTTGTTGGTGGAGAGGGTGAAAAATGCCGCATTGTTGCTGAGGGTTACGGCTTCAAGGATGTGTAGGTGTTCACCCGATAAAATTCGCAGACCATGGTTCTAATATTTGTTATGTAGTGTAACTCCAGGCGACATCATCAAAGATAACCAAGACACGACTCCTTTCCGCAAATTGACGGACGAAGAGTACAAAAACTCACGAGCACGCAACTTTGCTGAATGTGAGATCGAGGCCATCTTTGTTTTTGCCGACTCTCGCGACTGGGCCTCAGACCAACAGATCATTCTTGATCTCCTCATGTCACAGAATGGTCGTCTTGGTACCCGCTCGAAGAACTTTGATGAAGGCCCACCAGTTTTCTTTTCGCACAACGATGTTGTGTGGAGTGCCTCGCATGACCTCACCCGGATTGGAATGGGTGCTCTGCGAGTGTCTCTCGAGGCTATGTTCAAGGCCGTGACTGGCAAAGAACTAAAGACCACTGCGTTCGGAAAGCCTCAGATCGGCACCTTTGAATTCGCTACTCGTCTACTTCAAGAATGGCGGAGGGAGACGCATGGCATTGACTCGCCTCCCTCAACTGTCTATTTTGTTGGAGATACCCCAGAGTCCGACATTCGAGGAACAAACGAGTACAATGAACAAACCGATGAAGCTAACTGGTACTCCATCCTTGTTCGAACTGGTGTCTTCCAAGAGGGTACCAAACCGCGCTTCCAGCCTAAGGCTACTGTTGACACAGTTTTGGAGGCTGTGAAGCACGGTATGGAACGCGAGTACAAGAAAGCTCTCAAGGAGAGTATGTTGACCGCTGCCGTGATCGAAGAATAGATCTGGCTTTCGACACCACAGATGTGGGCTTTTTACTATACTTTTCCTTCGGCATAGCGGCAGGCGCATTAGTGGCTTTGTTTCAATTCATTTCTTCCAAACCAATGGCGAATTGTGCCATATCTTTTCATATCCAGCTAGAATCATCTTTTTGTTGACGCACACAACTAGTTCAATTTGAAGATACCATGCCTTTGTCTAGAACGGCAAACCAAGAGATTACGTAGTTTGACTGAATTCAACTAAATACCTTACCATTTGTCTGCCTCGAGGTTCTAATGCTTCAAAGGAGAATTTGTCCAAAAGAAAGGTTGACTGCCTTGAATCATCAGATGTTCGACTCGCAAGGCAGTCTCATCGCTGCCTGAGGAGGATCACCCCGTTATTGCTGCCGAAGAGGCGTCGTTCGACAAGCATCTAGCAGCAATTGGTGACGCCACTGATGAGCTTAGATCAACCACAAAGTCGGCCCGACCAGATATGGGCTCATTTTCGCCGGTGTTAATGTTGTTGAGCGTTATTCCGTCTTCCATGATTGCCCCTGGATGCTCCATCTCAGCGATCAGGGTCTGTCAAGCTCGAGGCGGCCTCGGGTTTTCGCACCCTGAATTACCGTCCCGTCCTCGGCACGTACGCCACTCGATGATTCAGATGTTTAAGTGGAGCTAAAATGCGCTGAAACACGCACCGTGCGGCGTGCTCCATCCTTCGACAAACTTTCTAGATGACGGTAGATCCTGCTGCCCTTGATTTCCGCGCGTCTATCAGTATCGTCGACCTGCATACCTGGTCCCATTTTTCCCCTGATGTGCGCTGATCCGGGGGCTGGGATGGATTACACGGGTAACCATGAGTAACCTATCTGTTAGGCGAAACTGTCAAATTTATGCTCTGCCGTCCCCTGACCCAGAATTTCCCTTCGTATCCTTCCCTGTCAGGGTTGATTCTTTTTCTCTACGATTCCGCTTCCCCATAGTGCTCGGCTCCATTTTTAGTCCGTTGGACTACACGAAGTGTCAGGACTCGAACGCAACCAAACTTCGGAACACGCGAAAGAGGTCTCAGCTCTAAAATGGAACATACCTTTATTGTGATCGACTTGTGACCTATCTACGCACATGTTTGATGGAGTACTGTAGTGGAGACGGATGGCGGTTTGTGTGAGAGTTCAGTACCTCTCCTTACTGTTTTGCTGCGAGCGTCTTTTGGGTTCGTTTCTGGATCCTACTTCCATACGAATTTCTGCAAATATGAAGCAGAAGCAGGCGCGAAAGTAATCATGTGGCATAACATGTCACAGGTCTCTACGCCCAAGCCTCACCTGAGTGCACTCACATTGATGCCAAGGAATAGAACTTTGAGTGCAGGAGATTGTGCGGCAAGGCGCTGAGAACTTTCTGTCTAGAAATCGGTCGATGTTTTACCCCCTTTCCGTCCTTATCGCTACTTGGTTAGCAAAAAAAGCTGGTGGACGAATCTCAGATGTCTTGGCTAGGCATAGCTTATATATGCTGCGTGGTGCTGACACAATGCCCAGTAGCTTCCAAGAAGAGAAAGAAGGCCCCCCCAAAGAGGCAATTGTCCACACAAGATGGTTGCAGCCACAATCTTTGGGTGGTACATGCTATTCGCTGTACCGAAAACCTGTGAAGCGCAGAGCAAAAAATAAGACAGTAATTGAGCTCCCAGACGAGGATTTGAACCTCGGTCTCCGGCGAGTTGTCATACTTGACAAGCCGGAATACTGGCCACTATACTATCTGGGATGGCGCTCTTTGGTGATGATGGTAGAGATAATTCAATACTTTAAATAGATGCAATGATCATTTAGACGCCTCGAAGCGCAGAAAACGTTTCCGATCGCTTACATTTTTCATCTGTCTCCCTATCCAACAGATTACTTCTTCTGCACAATTGGTCAGCTTCTTGCACCAAATAAAAGTGGGATTGAAGGCGAAGCCCTGCGTAAAGCACTCTCATACTAAACATTGTAGAGGCTTCCAGGGGGGTGTACCATTTCTTATCTTAGGAGCAAGGAATATACGCACCTAGAGGTCTTTAATTTGCCTTTAGCTCTAGGGCTAATCTATGTGGCTCTGTTAGGAGGGTTTTGCTACTTCCCACTTCCCTCGTGGCAGTTGCGACGCCGTCACAAGGCATATGTGCTGGGATTCAAACGCACTTGCGCTTCATCACCTCCACCAGCGACAATATTCCACGCATCGGAACCATGAACTGGACTGGTGGTAGCCTCCAGCGTACCAAGAAGGCTAATCAAAGTCTCACACAGAAGCAGAGAGCTTATTTTGCCAAATCCCGTGGGCAACCTCAGCATTTGCCTATGCTCCCTGTTGCGCCTTCTCATCTGCCTAGCGACAGCAATGACACAAGAACTCAGACGACCAAGGACGACCAAGCACTTGAAGTAAAGCGGAAAAAACTGCTCAAACAAAAAGACTGGATTGGTATCAATTCGCTAGAGCCAGTCAAGTTGCCATCCTTTCTGTCTCAGACCCACCGAAACGGTATTGGAAAACGCAGAAAGCCTCAAGGCGGACATGGTGCCATTGTGCCTCAGAATGAGGTCGATAACTTTTTCAAAAATTTGCCGCACACTACAGGCGCAATATTGAGGATGGAGGAACATGATTGGAGAAAGAAAAATGACTTTCAAGATATTCGTATCCAGATCGGTACTGACGCCTCGACGAACACCCACTCACCTGGGACACCCGCTTATTTACAATCAAGCTCAGAGTCTTTATCGGAACCCATGCTCTTCGACCAGGACGGCAATACAGCTCAGGAAAGAATTGGTGGTTTAAGTCGCGCTCGAGAGACAGATCGAGAGACGGAATCTGCAGTCTCGTCTCAAAAGGGACACGTGCGTCGAACTGATAGCAAGCAAGAGCGAAAATATATCGACCAGTTCTCGCCGTCGAGTGCCATCGTCGATGCGGAGCCATGGGGATACTTCCCTACAGAGTGTGTGAGGCAATCAAGCCAGTCTGTTGCCTTCATTACGACCGGAAATGGATTGTTGCATTCTCACCCCACCGCAGAAGATAATGAAGCTGTCCCGACCTGGTCACAGCACGCTACCCAAGGCAAGCGAACGCACCTCAGCTCCTCATGCATATCCTCGTCCCTGCCCTCCCTACGGAGAAGCGGCATGCAAAGAGCGCCGAAACAGAATGTTTCTGAAAGTCGTGACAGGTCAAATTATCCAATCAAGGGAGACCGCCCAAACAGAGATAGTGAAGAAGAATTGTGGAGAAAGTTCGTTGTGGGAGTGTCCAGTAGCTCGTTGTCGGATTTCCGTAGAGATCTTAGTCTTGACAACGAGAACAATGTAATCAAGCCAGCTATACCAGAGGCAATACTATGAACAAGCCTGGCACCATCAAGTTCCAAGTTGAGCCTGAGGTGCGTTAGTTACATTTTTGCAAGTATTATGCATGCTAGGAAACCAAGGCAGACTACCATCCTGCAAGCTGAGGTTTATCTCCCCTACTATCTGTTACATGAGACTATTGCGTGGTAGAGTGGGTATTATCAGGATGGTGTCCTTGACTGTCGATAATTCCCGTCAGTCCCACACCTTTCATGTCAATAAATCGGCCTGATCGAACAAAGTTGAGCCATAACGTACACGAATGCGGCAGCCTCTGCGCCACCTTCAGGGACCCGGACTATCAGTTCACTGGCCAATTGCGGAAAAGGCGAAAGGGGGTAAATTGGACCACAACATGGCTGCACTCTCGAACGCCAATAAGCGACAGTTCCCTCAAAGGTAGAACACAGGTGTTTTTTGATATCCCATTGAAGCTATCCACAACTTTATTGATGCTGTTGCTATACCACAGAAGGATGAGGAGTATGGAGGTGCTTATTTCATCTTTAAGAACACGTTGTGTTGTTGTGAGGGTGCCGGGCTTACTTCCGACTCTTTCTCACGGCATCGAGGCTGCGTGTAACAACTTCGGCGACCACCCTGTGACTCATGCGTTGATGCAGAACAACGCATCAGGCGAAATATCTTCATGGTAGTACGTGATTCGAAAAATTTTGGCGGCCAGCCTGGACCGTCCTAAATAACCAGACGCCTTATCGGCGCAGCACGAGCTAAGTGAGCTGAGAAGGCAGGCTTGTCTGAATGGCATGCCCGTCAACGGAGGTTCCCACCAAGGGTCGTGACATCGGCGATGTTTTAAACCAATGTGAAGCAAAGGTTGGTCAGTACACTTACTGCAGATATGACAATTGCAGGATAATGCCGAGTGGACCCAGGGAGACCTAAGGCATGCTCCAGGAAATCAATTGTCGCCCTGAAACCGACGGAAGAGGAGATTTGGATAGGCAATTGGGCGCGGTCGATGTCAAGCAATCAGCGAATGACTTTGGTCCTTGAAGCCGCCATTTTTCCTGTTGGTCCAGCTCGTGTTACATTCCATAACCCGATGACCATTTCGAGCGTGTCGCATCTGCTCAGCTCCCATGCGCTGGAACGGTTACGGTCTACATAGCACAAGTGCACCCCACACACTTTTCGAGTATTGGCGAAGGTGTTTGTGGAAGCAGATCGGAAGGCGTCATGCAGGATCTTGCACAAACTCGCGGCAAGCAGACTCCTAGAGCACGTCAAACTCAGCCGAAGTGAAACAAGCTATCGCGAAATTAGCAACAGATCATGGGCAGGTCGAAGCGCCGTATTGAAGTCCCTGAGTCTTGTCAGGGCAAGGATACGATGCATGTCATCGATTGTGCTCCTGGACGTCCTCAGAGCAGATTGGGATACGTGCGAGCATCCTGGCACTCGTACAGTGTCGTTAAAAATAGTGGGAATAAGGCGAGGTCCCCACGTGCACGCTCGTACTCTGTACGTGGCACAACATCAAAATCAATTGCAGAGGGCATGAAGGTCTCTGGAAGGTGTGGAATGTTTCCTGTTTTGGAAATCAAGCTTTTAGTCTTTCTTTGTTATACTGCCAGAGAGGACCTGTTTGTTTCCAGCTTTTGATTTGGTTGGCGATGCTGGCATGACGGAGCGGGGATGGCCCTCTTGGGCCTCTGCTGTGATGCGCGCACCTCTCAGGGAGCAAGGTGGCACAGGTGCAAAGGCGCTGATTCTGGAATGCAGCACATGGCAGTGACGGACGATTGGATAGAACTGGAGGGCATTTCACACCGCCTGTAAGTCACATGGGCAGAGGCAAGCTGGAAAGCCCAAGGAGGGGGCGAAGGGCTCCGGCATGTGCGGATAACGGGCCCGCTGTCTGATTCGTGAAGGCGGCCAGGGGCAGCCGGCGCTTCTCGAAGCTTGGGAATCCGTTCATGGAACTCCGGCGGGCAATCACGCGACTTGTTGGTTGCATTGCATCGCAGTGCAGCACGATGCGGACGTGGAGCGCTGACGACTAGCCTGGCCAGCTGGTCGCTCCGCAGTAATGAGGGCATCGTCGAGGCATCGACGCACGTTGAGACTAGAGGACAGAGATTTTGGGCGCGCCCGAGGCGTAGCGCACCCGCAAAACTTTGGGCTGCCAACAAAGAAACGAGGCACCCCGGGCGGCGATTTGCGCCAAGAAACTTTAACCATGCCCCCGGCTTCGCGCTTCGTTTGGACGGTGACGATTCCCCCATGGCACCATGCCCTTTGACATTAGCACAAAGAAGCGCTTGCTGCCACCGTTTCCAGTCCGTCTTTGCCGCTCCGCTACCGTGTGACTGGTCCGTTGCCACGATGCAGTGCTCGGGTAATACTGGCTTTGCAGCAAAGAGCATGCCATGCCGTGAGCTCGGAAACGCGGGCAACGAGGATAAACGGCATGTGTGTGGAGAGATGCCAACAGGCAGGATTGCTGGTTTGGCAATGTGCCAGCTCAGTGGAACCGGTGACTGGACATTATTAACCAGACCCGAGGCATCAGACTCAGCCTTGCTAACGCACTCGCGCCCCTCTTCTTTTGGCTCGGAACACACGGCCTGAGGGCCTGAGGAGTGAGGCCTGGCGAGACGACGAGCAACCCAAGGCGAGGCAGAGGTACCCGTCACCGTCGCAACTTGGGCGCACAGCAAGGGGCGCGCCGTGATTGGCGCCCCCGCCGAGCCAAACGGGGCGGACGTCATCTCAGGACGTTTCAATTGTGGATCAAGTCACCATGTGCCGAAGCCGCTTTAGCGCGGCGTCGTCGTCCATGTCCATGTCCATGTCCATCCATGTCGTGGGTGAAATTATCTGGGAGCGTCTGGTGGCAGCCCGTCCTAGCACTACCTAGACTAGTACCTCGCCAACGCCAACCAACGCTCCTGCCTCCTGCCCATCCGTAGCTGCCGCTGACAATAATAAGGAGAGGGCCCGCCCAACAAGCCCCGTCCGACACCACCACACACCACACGCATACAATTGCCCTCTCTCTCTCACCCGCGCTGCTGCACCTCCGCATTCCAGCGCCCTCGCCCGCTTACTCTCGCTGCCTGGTCGTCCGCATCCGGCTGTGCGCCCCCACACGACGTGCTGCGCTGCTGCTCCGTATACACTCATACTTATAGCCCCCCCCCCAGTCGACGCATCGTGCGTGCATGCAGGCCACCTCTTGCCCTCGCACACAGCTGACCCGCGTCTGCCTCTTCGCGCAGCGCGCTTGCTCGTCCCGAAGCGTCGTAGCCGCATCCGCCTAGCCGTCAGATTTCACGATGCGTGAGACTTCTTAGCTCCAGCTTCAGGACCCCCAGCCGGCTGTTGATCGGCTCTGCTCTGCTCTGC